ACTTGGAGAGCAAGATCAATAAACAAAATCAATAAACAATGTACAGTGATAAGGGCTGCTATAATGTAAGTTAGAGCACTCTGAGACAACCAAGAAGTGGGGAGACCCAGTAACCCAGTCGAAGGAAGGCTTTCCATAACAGTGGCAACTAAGCATAAACCCACAGGATAAATTACTTGAAGTTGAGGAGGCAGAAGGGGCAAGAGCAGATATGAGCAAGGTGAGACCTGGGAATAGAAAATGGTGTAGCCTTCAGTTTAGAACATATAGCATAAAGGCCTAGGAAGCTGAAGTTAGTTCCTAATGGCCAAGGTGGATAGAGTTTAAGAGGAGAGTGGCCAAAGATGAAGCCAAAGCACTGGACAAAGGATTGGTCACACAGGGCCTTAAGTGCCAGGGACAGTAGGAGTCATTCATGATTTCCAAAGGAGAGAAACAGGTGAGGATCTCTTTCAGCAAGAACAAGCAGTTTTGTAATGAATAAGGGGCACATGATTACCGCTTGGGTTTGAGAGAAGAAAAAGATATTTTCCAGTTGCTAAGCTGTGAAGGCAAAGTAAATTAGAGATATGAAAAAAGTCTGCCACATAGACTGCAATTTTCTGTCACTCAATATTAGCTTGCTTGTTCAAACATCAACCAAACCCTATAACCAATTAATTAAATTCATCATACCAGATGAAGGTTTTTATGCCAGACAGGCATTTTTCTACCTAATCCAATTGTAGTCCCAAAAATGGCAGGGGGGGCGGGGCGAGGATGAAAGCATGAAATTAAGGTAGTATTGTTAAATTTCTCAAAATCTAAGAGTACACAAAGTCTTTAAAATAAGATTTAAAAAAACAACATTTTTGAAACAAAAAATGATTAAGTGAATCACATTCAAGTTAAGAACTTCTGCTTATCCAAAGCCACCATTAAGAGAAAGAAGGCAACAAACCAGAGTATGGAAGAAGACAGTCCAGTCACACATTCCCAACAAAGAACTTACATCCAGAATATATTATAAAGAAGTCGAGAGAAATGGGAAGGGAAAGACAGAGACAGAAAGAGTGAAGACACCAGTGGGGAGATAGAGGGCTTGCATGAAAGATGATATCCACAAGGCTAAAAACATGAAAGGTAAGCAACTTTGTTGCTCATCAGGAAGATGCCAATTTAAACTCTAACATTATGCATTTATATCCAAGTTGCATCACCAGGATGGGTGACATGACTGCAAATTCCAAGTAAAAACAGGTGAAATTAGTCTATGCCATTAGAAGCCATATGGTGGCAGTCTTAGACAAAGAGTTGGGTAGACCGTCAATGCGTACAATTTCAATCCTCATGACAACTCTGCAAAATGGTGGTATCTGTGGCAATAGCAATAACAGTGGTGGTGGTGGTGGTGGTGGTGGTGGTGGCGGCGGCAGTATTGTGGGGGTGAGACAAGTGGTAGCGGTGACGGTGGTGGTGGCAATAGTAGCAGTAATAGCAGCTAACAAATCTGAATGCTTATAATATACCAAGCCCTGTTCCAAGCACTTTGCATACATTATCTCATTTAATTCTCAGAATAATCCTATGATATAGCACTATTGTTAGTGCTATTTTACAGAAGAGGATAATGGCACAAGCGGTTAAATTACTTGCCTAAGGTAATTAATTACACAGCTAGTAAGCGACCAGCCAGGATTGAAAACCAAGCATCATTTCCAATAAGGAAAATGAAACACTATAAATAAGTTCACCGCAAGGTAGATTAGCAGCACCACCAGACACCTCAGTGGTCACATCCTCTGCGTTCAAAGACTCCAGTATCTGGAAGGCCAGAGCCTCTCCTCTGAGGTCTGAGTCTCTGCTCCTGGGTACTCTCTCTCAACTTCCAGGGTTTGCTCACTCCAGCCTCTTCCCACATTCTCCTAGCCCTAGCAGTGGCTGCCTCCTCTCCCTGCTACCCACATGTTACCCTAAAGTTAACTTTTTACCTTTCAATTCATCTGACCACTTTATACCTAGTTGAGTATTGTTCATTATCAATTTTCTGTTCCATCAACTGATGTGGCTTGTCTCCTGTCTGGACCTGGACTGACATGAGGAGGGACCTGGCACCTAACAGCTGTGATCTGGCTAATTCCCTTAACCCAAAGTAGACCTCCCTTGGATTTTATTGTTGGGAAAGTAGATGAGGCTTGCAGTAAAGACTTTCACATGTGGGTTCTTTGAAATGTGAGCTCTGTCAATCCCCCTTCTCCATCCCTGGCCTCATCCCTCTTGGGCCGAAGGCCTGGCACAGGAAAGGGAGCTCCACAGCATCCCTTTTGCTCTGGGGCTTGCCCAAGTCCCTTCATCTTGCTTCCATCATTTGGATACCTTTGGGTCCTGGTTTACCCACTCTTGGGAAAACTTTTTCTGTCAAAGTTCTACAAAAGTCCACCTTCTTCTCTTCTCCACCCTTACTCAGACCCAGCTTCCCCAACATTTGCAGCCAATGCTTCATTGTTTGGGGTTGAAATAATTTCCTTGTTTTACAGAGACTGGTTTTATTTTCACTATTTCTTCATACATCATTATTGGAAGGAGATTTCAAGAAAAAGAATAGAATAAAAATGCTACTTTTCTGCCATCTTTGAAGAGAAGCCATTGCCATGTTAACAACTGCCAGCGGGGATCCTACACCAAATCCTGACTCCCTAGAGGACATGACCACCTCCTTGAGGCTAAAGTGAAGACTTAGATGAGTGCAAGAACCATTTCTGAGGGGCAGGGTAGAGAGAGAAACTCATCTGACTTTTTTTCTCAGAGTCATGGTCTCAATTTGTTGCCCAGGATAAAGTGCAGTGGCACAATCACAGCTCACCGCAGCCTCCCACTCCTGGGTTGAGGCAATCCTTCTGCCTCAGCCTCCCAAGTAGCAGGGACGACAGGCATGTGCCACCATGCCTGACTAATGTTTTCATTTATTGTAGAGATGGGGTCTCACTATGTTACCTAGGCTGGTCTCGAACTCCTGGGCTCAAGTGATCCTCCTGCCTCAGCCTCCCAAAGTGCTGGGATTATAGGTGTGAGCCACCACACATAGCCTGACCTTTTTTTTTTTTAATAACTATTAAGCGTATAACAATTTGCCACTTATGGCATCACTCAATAAGAAATATATTTTTTTAATTCCATATTGTGTGATTAGCACTGAAAGGAAAAAGGAAGAAAACAGCACAAAGAAGGAAAGGATTCAAGACCAGAAAAAATAAAAAATAATGTGCACTGATAACCTACAGTTAACTTCCGATTCTGTCCCCACTACCTACTCTGGGCACACTTAGCCCTCTTGAACAAGAACAAGAGAAGAGAATATATTCTGTGCAGTAGGCTGCTCAGTGGTTCCAGTCCCATAACAACTTCTAGTTACACAAGTCACTAGAAGAATAAGCCTTGAACATCTCCCAGGGAGACACAGACAGGGAGAAGCTAGATAATGCTGATATGCAGATTCATGTTTTGCTTCCTTATACATAGACTTACATCAAAATCAGTATGAGAAATACAGGAATACAAGATCCCCTGAAAATCTCCAGAGTAGGATAAGCCCATTTGAACCTTTTCTTACATACTCCAAACTCATCTTCTCATGACATAATTCTTTACATGCAAATTCTCCCAAACGTATCCCTGCACCTTCCTTCAAGTTGGAACTAGCCAGAGGGTCTGTGGCTCCACCTCCAGCACACTTGCTTTTGAGGAGGAAGCCCTCTGCCAGGGAGCAGCATATGATTAGTACATCCCATACTAGAAACATAACCAAAACTGGCCAAACTACCACTGTATGCCTGCTTCACCCCACTCCTACAGCAAAAGCATGTAAAATATCCCAAAGTTCTGCTAGCTTGTTCTCCCTCTTTTCATTCTCTGTCTGGTCTCATTGGCCTGTACAATTTCTCTAACTTAATTAAATTACTTGGCTTTATTTCTACGTATTACTCTTGATAACTCGCCCTCCTCCTCTACAGTACATTTCCCCTATGGTCAATACCTTCACTAGCCTCTAACACACTGGGTATTCTACCATACACTACCTCATTTCATTCCTGACAACTGTCTGTAGTAAATACTATCTTCTTATTTACCCATGAGGAAATTGAGGCATGTAACAACAGTTGTTCAAGGACAAATAGCTAGTAAATGGTGAAGTCAACACAGGCCTTATGGTCCCAAGCTATGTGTGCCTTAGGACCAGGAAACATGCTGCCTGCCATAGAGAGGAAGCACGTGGGCTGTTAAGCGCTGAGCCTACAGAGAACACTGGCCTGGAAGCATCAAACGAAAGGCTTCTAAGTCTGCTAATGTCATTCTCTCATTCATTCATTCCAGAAAAAATGTTGCTGGTGATCTGATCAATGTTCAGACCCAGGAAAGAGGATCAGGGATACAAAGGTTGTACATTGTCCCATTATTTTTGCTGTAAAATCTTTGTGCATAATTGAATAACCACTATCAGGATATCATCAAATTAACAGTGGAAGAAACTTTTACACTTTCTGAACATTGGATGTTTAAAGTATCTCTTCAGTAACCAAACAATAAAACATTCCCAGGGTCAATCAGCTTAAAATACCAACCTTTGATCACTGTAGGACACTTAGGTAGATTTATAAAGTAGTCCTTCAAAGACCCAAACATTTCTAAAATCCAAATGGGCAGCAAAGAGAGAAGTTGTGTATTATAATGTTAAAGATTTTGTTGTTGTTGAGTCAAAATGTTTACTTTTGAAATTGTACAGTTTAGTTACTCTATACTCAGAAATATTTATTATATTTGGACAATGCCAACTTTCATTTAGATTTGTAAACTATTGCAACTTACTTAGATGCAATTAGTAATTATATGTGCCCCACACCAAGTATGATTTTACTCCATATTTTCCTAATTTAATAAGCAATTTATTTTTATACTTTACCAATGTGTGTTTTTGTTCTATTATGGCAAAACAAATGAATTCAACGTGAAAAACAAATACCCACCTTTGGTGGTGAGAACTTTTGAGGTGACTTCCAGATTCTCCAATGGTTCTATTCCAATATTTTCCAACTTAATGATAAGTTGCTGAGTTTCTCCATTGTAAAGCTGGACAGATACATTAGTAGATATTTCATCACCAGAAGAAGGTTGCAAGGAATGTGCAGATCTAAAATAACAGCAAAAATAATAATAAATTTAAAGAGGAAAGAGAGAAGAAACCAACGGCATTTTAGAACTATTCACATCAGATAAAAGAATCGCCACACTTAAGTATTTCAGAAGCAGAGGCTAGGAAACTTTGGCCTTAAACATGGAATTCAGTACCCAGCTATCCTCAACAGAAAGTAAACTGCCACAGGCCAAACATTTTCCACAAACAGACACATCTGGATCTTTGCGTATTATAAAAGTGATCATCCTCACTCAGCCTTAGTTTCTCACATGTATGTGAAGCATAAAAATACTTAATTACTAAATTATGGAGGGTAAAAAGTAAACAATGAATTAATTCAAATGAACCACAAGGGTGGTGCTCTCCAAAAATATAAAAAATATTATGTTCAGAATTGCCATAGGAAAATCCATAGATTTCAGAGGAAAATGTATATGAACCATTCTGACTGATGAAAACTGAGATCAAAAAGAAGTGAATAGTACATTCAACAGACTCCATCCTGCAGGTGAAATCTATGAGCAATGCCTGGTAACACAGAATGTGACACAAGAGCAGCTCAGCTATGCCCTCGGGCCACACAGTATCTGTGGAGCTCTGCCAGGACAGGTCCAGGCAGCCAGCCTCATGCAGAAGTACAGCCCAGCCTCCAGGGCCTCCCCCAAGGTTCCTGCACTGAAGCTCTCAATCTATGAGTTCTCGCCTGAGTTCAACTGACTTTAACTGAATCCATCAAGTTCACTGTCCTGATTGTATTCTTCCCAACCCATGGGCAGCAGAATTCTGAGCGTGAAGGTCACTGGTGACCACAAAAAGGCTTTTGGTAGCCCAGCTAGGACAAAAGCCAGCAGAGAGATCTTCTGGCTTCTCAAAATCTCTGGAGAAGTTTGGTCACAAAAGAAAGAGGAAGCTAGGAAACATTGTCAGAGAGGAGAGGTTGACATGTTTTCCTGGGGCCTCAGGATTTACTAAGTACCCCACTATCTTCTTCCTGTACCTGAAAGATTTTCACAGTTTCATGTATATAAGCTGACACGTGCTTAATTCAACCAAAAATGGGTTATAAAATCATCTAAGTAGACTCTGGGTCACTCCACTCCATCAAATCTCCAGTAGACTTTCCAATGACCAACTTCTTCTAGCCCTGCTCCTGGTCACAGTACACAGAGCCAGAGTCAGACCCAAGTTCCATTTCTCATGCCACAGGTGAGCTAGCTGCCCCCATGCTATTTGATCCAAGGACAGAAAAGAATGTTCCAGACAGTGATGATCTCATTCTTCTGCTGTTCAAGAAAAGAGATGGTGCTTACAACAAGTCAGGTTTACGGAGCTGGTCATGCCCTTCCTGGGAGCTTCTGGCTCCAGACTCTGATAGAGGAGCTTTTATGTCCAAACAAATTTTTATAAAATAATAGCATAACAAATCCAGGTGGATTCCTTTGCACTTAAATATCTTTAATGTTGTTCATAAGTCAAGAAATAAACTTCCTCTGTCAAGGAAGAAAAACTGACTCATGTCCTCACCATAAATGACTTCTTCCCATCTTTTTAACATGCAGTCCTTCTCAAGCAAAAGCTGTTTGTAGTCAAAGTGGGTTTGCAGAGAAGACATTAGCAAAAAAAAAAAAAATACAAGCACAACCAAGACTAATTACTTTGTTGTCTCAGACAGGATGCCAAGGCACATGGTACTACGGGGAAAGAAGGAAGAAGAAAGTAACCAGAGTACCAACGATGCAGCCACAGGGTCTGGCCTAACACAGGCCCTGTCTGTCCCAAAATGTAGCATCCTGGGCGTCATGAGCAGTGAAACCTGGGTGAAAACTGGCGGTGAAAAGGGCTGTGCACTAAAGAGATGAAAATTGGGGTCCCCACTCAGACCAAGAACAGGTTCCTGGGGTGGAGCTACAGAGACTGGACAAGCATCAGGTCCGCGCTCTTAGGAGGAGATGAGGACAGAGCTTCTTTGCAGAAAGAAACTCCAATATGGGCATATGGGTTTCCCTGGGAAAATCTTGGGAGGTAGGTGTGAAGTCTATGCCAACAAGACCTTCTTTTTTAAGGATATAGTCCCTAATATGTAGCCTCAGGTCTGAGCAGCACTGGAGCTGCAAGTGGGGACCGCAGGTGCCTGAAGTGAGGCATGGCCAAGGAGAGCTGAGGCTCTAAATCTCACTGGAGCCCTCCACCAAAACCCCTCTGACACCTCCAAGAGGTTCTAGCCTTTCACACTTCCCCTCTAAAAATGATACTCCTTCTGCCTTACGTCCTTCCTGGCCTTCCTCATCTCCTATCTACACTTCAGAAAGCAGCTCTGCTGCTAACAAGCCTAAGAAGTTGCATCTACTTGTGGGCTCCCCATGTGTCCCCTGAGCATTCTGCCCTTCTGTGGAGCTCTACCCTTCCCATCACTACACTGGACCAAAAACTTTTTCAAGATACAGACAACACTTTTATTTCTGTACTACCAGCTCCTACCTAGCCAGATCTGTAGCACACAATAGTTACTCACTACATATGTATTAAACAAAGCATCTCAAATTTGAACCACCTATGCTACAGAAGAAAGCACCTGACAGTAACTGACACAGGCCAAGGACAGTACTACCCATTGCCTCCTAGGAGTCTTGCCCTGGGCAGCATGCCTCTGCATGGACTGCCTAGACATGGAGAGGGCAGGACTAAGCATCTCCACAGGTAATCAGACCATCTTCCCCTGACCTTGGCCCTCGCTGCCACCAGTGCTCAATGTACCCCGCACACAGGCTCCATCTCGGTGCCTGGGACTCCCTGCCTGGAAGAATCTCTGCCACATCGTACCTGCTATCTGCACATCTCTGCCAAAGAGACCTTTCTAGAGAAACTTCCTGCAAAGTAGAACATGCCATCTTAGTCTGCTTTGTAAGGTAGTGGGCCTCTGTCTCTGTGAATCTGCCTTTTCTGGACATTTCATCTTACCCCGCTTTGATTTTCATTGTTGCATTTAATTCTATGTCATTGTGGTCTATATTTATTTAGTTAGTTGATTTACTGTTCTCTCTTCTTTGCATGTTTTTCCTTGCTTGATTATAAAACCAATTTTTGTGACTCTTATAAGGTCCAATTTAAGTATTACATTCTCTATGAAACCTTCCTGAACCCCAAAAGACAAAATCAACCTCTTCCCTTCTTGTTTTCATATTACAGGAGCAGCTAGCAAATCTGACTATAGTTAGTCTATCTATCTCCCCTATGGATGAGGCCTAGGTCAAGAGTATCTTTTTATTAATTGCTAATCCTCTAGTACAAGGTCTCTTAAGGTGTCAATAAATGTTTGTGAGTGAATTAAACTAATCAGTCACAGGGATGTTTATATTACATTAATTATAATAAAAACTCACTTAAAGAACAGTCACTTTTTATTTCAGAAAACCACTTTGGAAAAATATATGCATTATATACAATTTTGTAAAATAAGAAATATAAGAAAATAACAAACATTTTAACTCCAAATTCTTCCTATGACACTGGGATCTTCCTCCCCCAGTACCCGGTCTCTCATGGAGGACTAAACCCAGCAGGGCTGTGCCAGGATTCACACTCCTCCCTGCAATCCAGGCTCCACACTGCAGATAAGCTACCTGCAGCAGCAGGTCTTCTTGCTGAGAGAGTACGCATGCAGCCCTCATCAAAGCACACCCACAAGACAACAGAAATAGGAAGGAGGGGACTTCACCTTTGGAAAGTATTCTAAAAGCAGGAGAAAAATGAGGGAGGCAAAGAGTGACAGCGAGAACAGCTGTTTCCTTCACCACCTAGTATAGCTGGAACGGGCCTTCAAGTCGGCCTTTACTAATGACAAATGACAAAGTTACCTTTTCCCAAAATCTTTTTCCTTTTGGGCAATAGCCCTTTTACTTAGAGCTTCATCACCTGAAGCCACTTCTGCCCTCTTACTGGATTGCTGGTTGAGGGCTTGAGAAATGTGCAGCAGGTAAAGCGCTGTCCTCTTCATGAGGAGACTTCTCATTATTCACCACCAGTTTTTGTTCAGGTGGTCGGTGTTCTATGTAAGCACATGAGCATGTGCTTTGAAACTGTGGCAGAGACCGAAGATCTCACTAGCCTAGTGTCCACTGAGTGCCACAGTACTACGGGGAACAGCGGCAGGATTCAGCGGGCAGGGCCTGAGCTAGCAGTCTGCAGATTTAGCTGTACAAGCTAATGTGCTCAGAATCATCGCGGCCTGGAGAGCTCCTGTGCCTTCATGCCCAGAACAGAGACAAGAAAGTATCTCCTCCTGAGGCTTTGGTGGGCTCAAAACTAAAGTCAAACCAAAATGCATTTTTCCAAACAGTTAATAATTGAGGTATAAGTTATACACCATAATGTTCTCCTATTCTAAGTAGACAATTCAACCATTTTTGCTAAAAAAAATATTGTCATACAAGATCACTGATACCAGTTTTAAATCATCTCCAGCGCCGGGTGTGGTAGCTCAAGCCTGTAATCCCAGCACTCTGGGAGGCCAGGGCAAGAGGACTGCCTGAGCCCAGGGGTTCAAGAACAGCCTAGGCTACTTGGTGAGACCTCATCTCTACAATATATCAAAAAATTAGCCGGGTATGGTCACGCGCACCTGTAGTTCTGGCTACTTGGAAGGCTGAAGCAGAAGGATCATCTGAGTCTAGCAGGTCGACGCTGGGGTGGACATAAATGTGCCACTGCACTCCAGCCTAGGCAACAAAAGTGAGATTCCAACTCAAAAAAAAAAAAAAAATCTACAGCACTCCAAAGAGATGTCTCAGGTGTACTTACAATCAAGTCCTACTCCCATTGCCAGCCTGAGGCAACCACGAGTCTGCGTTCTGGCTCTACAGATCTGCCTTTTCTAGATATTTCACATCAAAGGAATCACATGCTATGTGGCCTTTTTCATCTGGTTTCTTTCACTTAGCACAATGTTTCTGAGGTTCATCTATACTGGAGCACATATCCATTCATTCCTTTTTATTGCTGAGGGATGTACCACATTTTGCTTAACCATTCATCTGTTGATGGACATTTGGGCTCTTTCACTTTTTGATTATTATGAATAATGCTGCTATGAACACTCATGTACAATATTTTGTGTCAGTGTTTTCATTTGTCTTGAGCAGATACCTGGGAGGGGAATTATTGGTCATATGGTAAATTTATGTTTAACTTGTTAAGAAACTGCCAAAGTGTTTTCAAAATGGATGTACCATTTATACCCCCAATCACATGCTTCTTTCTCCACTTCTCCTTTGTCAGAAAACTACTCCTGCCTGCCTATCGTACGTACATAGCTAATTCCCCATCCCTCCCCTTATGCATCACTCATGATGTCACCTCCTAGAAGAAATCTTCTCTGAGTCCATGACCTCCCCCAGCACACAGAACCTTCCCATCAGAATCCTGACAACAATGCACTGTTATTTGGCTTGTCAATCTCTCCCACTTGACATAAATTCCTATGAGAACAGACATCAGGACTGCTGTGATCACTGTTACAGCCCTAGCACCTAGCACAATGTGCAGTCAATGAAAAGTGTCCATTAAACAAATGAACAGACTTTTAAAACATTTTAGAAAATCACAAAATACATTTTATAAAAATGGCCAAAAAGATATCCTTTAAGTATTATTCATAAGAGCAAAAATTGGTAATATCCCAAATTCTAATAGCAAGCAAATTAGAAGGTATGTAATCTTAAGATATCTTTATAGGCTGGTTTGATGGTTCACACCTATAATCCCAGCAGTAGTGTGATCCCAACTATTCAAATATGTATTTTAAAAATAGGATGGATAAAACACTAAGGAAATATTACAAAAAAGCATTTATAGTAATTGCTTCTGAGACTCCTGAGATTTCTTTCCCTCTCCTCCTTATGCTTTCCTATAATGAAAAAAACAAAGCAAAATGAAAACAAGAACAAAACCATTTTTTCAAAGATGAGTTTTTCTTAAATTCCATATATTTTTTAGGGAATTCCTAAATTTCCTAATTTCATTTTTCAAAAAAATTATGATTCTATAGGTTAATTTCATGTTTTGTTCTGATCTTGGTAAGAAAAATTTCAACTTTGTTCCAATTCACTTTAAGCAAAGCACACTGACTTGGTTATCTTAAAGAAATCCTTCACCCATATTCTGGTCATAAGATCTATAAATTAACTCAGGCTCTTTGTGCCATTAAAAAAAATGTATAACTAAACATTATCACTAAGAGCCACTTGTATCTGTCTACATTACCTGGGCAAAGAGGTGCTGATCTGCAGTCTTGGCAAAGCAGGAATGACTTCAACTGTGGAGCCACTGGTTTTTATTCCCGGGAGGTTATCCAGCAAACAGTCACTGAACACACCAAAGACAGTGGTATGATAACCTAGAACACAAAACAAACAGCTTCACTCCACCCAGTAAGGCTTTGTACCTCACGCAACAGCTGAAGTAGTGAAAAGAGCACAGGGTTCATCTTGTTGAGACCTGAGTTCAGATGCTGGTCCCATCACCTGCTAGTGCTCACCCACAGCTCCCACCCTCAACTACAGAGACGCTAAACTTCCTCATACATGATGGCGACGATAATCGTACATGCATTCCTATTTCACAAGGCTGACCTGGCCCAAATGAAAGAATATATGTGAAAGTCCTTGTCAACTACAAATCTCAATATAACTTAATAATCAGTATCTCATCCCTTTACTAATTTGCTTTTCCGATTCATCCATCTCTAAAATGAGAATGGTAGTTAATATTCCTTTCCAGGACATAATATGACTTAATGAGTATTTGAAAAATGCTTCAAAACCTTCTGTTCAGAGATGAAAGTTCAAGAGCCAATTATTGTTATTATAGCAGCTACGTGATATGGCAAATCTGCTGTATGTGTACAAGTACTATAATTTAAGATTAGCAAATTTTCCATGCACCAAAAAAAGTCTATTGGTTAGATAAGCACTTGAAATGTTTAAGCAAAGCTTTAAAATGGCTTTTGGAATTTCAAGAGATAATTATTATAAACAACATTCACTGTGTAATAAAATTAAACAATGCCCAATGGCTAGATGCCTAGGGTAACAACTTTCTGCATTCATATCAAACTATTACGTACTAAACAGAGCAGCAAGCCATTCCCTCAAGGGCAAATCAAGGCCCTTACATAGACTCATCAACACTCCGCTTCACCTTCTGGCAGCTTTAAGATGCTCTTTCAACTTCTCATAACTCCAACTCACAGAACCCACATTTCCTCCTTTCTAGAGTATGCTTCTTGAAAGACTTCTTTAAATGGCAAATATTTTCCTCCCTAGAAACCCACATCTGGCACTAATGCCCTCATACTTTTCTTTCTACAAAGCCTGGAATGATGTGATCTTTGTCCACTAAGCAATCACTATTTCACAGTTCTTAATTAAGATCAGTTATTTTCCTTTCCTTACCCATTGCTTAAAATAACTGTCATATAACCCCAAAAGTCTGATGACAAATACTCAGTACATTACCATGTCTGATAATACAAGCTCTGCCCTTCTGACTTCATACACAAGGCATGCCAAAAAAATGAATATCATCCAGGATAAACAACTAAGGAAGAAATCTGTTACTAAGGCTCTGACTACTCATCTATGAACATATTAGTTATTGGTTATACGTATTCTAAATCAAGCCCTCTGATCCTCATAATTTCCTCTCTAATCTATTTCTTTTGGTCTCATTTTGTCCCAACCCCAGCAATGGTCCCACCGTTGTCATTTTCCACCTGGATTATGGTGAAGTTGGAGAACTGGTCTCCCTGCCACCAGTCCTTCCATCTCCAGCCCAGAGCTCGACAGGGTGCCCTGAAGGATCGCTCTGAACCACCGACCACATCTCTATTCAAGAAAGGCAGCCCCCAGTTGCCCCAAGAAAATTGATGTCCTCTTGCCTGGTTTACAAGGCCCTTTAGATCTATTCTTTGCCTCCCTTTTATCTTTGTCACTGCCACCCCTGCCTTGGAACCCCCACTCTGACCACCCCAGTTCCCTCAAATGCATCAAGCTCTCTCTCACCACCAGGTCTTTGGAAAAGCTGTTCTTTCAGCCTGGAACTGATTTCTACCCCATTTCCTGCTCCCTTTCTCCTCCCACTGCCCACCCCCATTCATTTAAGTAATTCCTAGTTGGCCTTCAAAACCCAAAGCCACATACTCTGAGAGCCAACCCCTTCTCCCTTTCTGGGTACATGCCCAGAAGTGTATGTCCTCACAGCCGTGTGCTTAGCTCCATCTCAGTACTTGCCACAACACACCCTAACCTGTGATTATGCCTGCCTCACTCTCCTCATAGGGACACCCTTTCCCAATGAATGTTTGCTCTTCCAGCCAACAAATATATACCAAAGACCTTCTGTGTGCGAGGCTCTGCACTAGGCTCTGAGCAGCAGCTGAGCAAAACAGACAGGACCAACAAGGAATCCATCACACAAAGACACAAAGGAACGTTGCACAGGGGGCCTAAGTCAACATACATATGCTGAGGAAAGGAAACCTGATCTGAGGATTGAAAGAAGCACAGGAGACCCGCCTGGGCAACTTGGTGAGACCTCATCTCTACAATAAATAAATAAATAAATCAGCCAGGCATGGTAGCGCATGCCTGTAATTCCGGCTACTTGGAAGGCTGAGGCGGAAGGATCGCCGGAGCCCAGTAGGTCGAGGCTGTGGTGGCCGGGAGCAGCCACTGCACTCCAGTCTGGGCGACAGAGTGAGACTCCGACTCAAAAAAAAAAAAAAAAAGAAGCACAGGAGTCAGTCAGGATTGGAAGCACTCAGATAAGGCAAAAGTTCAAAAAGCCTGGAATGCTTCCAGAACTACAAGGAGTCTTCTGAGACCGAAGTGTGACTTAGCAGGAGGGGAGGGGCAGAGAGGATACTGCAGAGACAAGAAGAACTGGACCACAGGGGGCTTTGACAGTCAAGTTAGGGGATTCAACCTTGGCAACAAAGGACGAGTGAAGGCTCAAGGTTTCTGGTCAGGAGATGACACAGGCAGATTTGCACTCGGAAGATCATTTGGCTGCACATGGGAGATGAGTCTGTAATCAAGCAAGACTGGAGGCGGGAAGACCAGTCCTAACACTTTGGTGACAAATCCTACAAGAGCGAATCAATCTACAAGACAGGAAGTGGCCATGGAGGTGGAGAGAAGTGGTCACTCTCAGGAAGCACTAATGAGGAGTCGATACGAGAGACAGCATGGGGGTATGTCAGACATGGAAGGGTCAAGGATGACTCCCAAGAACCTGGTGAGGGTAAATGGCTTAATGAGGATGCCTGCAATGAGATGGGGCCTCAAGGGAGGACCACTCTGGGAAACAGAGGCAGGGCATTCTGGTTTGGGCATGCTGTATGTGAAGTGCCCACCAGATTTCCAAGGAGATGACTGGTAAGTGGCTGGATGTGCAGGCCAGGAAGGGATCCTGGTCCTAGGAATCATCAGCATGTTGACAGCCCTGAAGGACAGAGAAGCCAATAGGACTGGTGGGATCACCAAGGTTAGCTTGTGGAGAAGAAAAAGGAGGGAAAGGAGAAAGAAAGAAGGGAGGGAACAGGGGAGCAGGGAGCAGAAGGGAGGGGGAGCAGAGAGAGGAAAGAAAAGAAAGGGAGGAAGCAGAGTAGAGTGGAGCATGGGAAAAGCGGGCTGAAGGGTGGGCTGCACAGTGGCACCTGCAAAAGACAAGAGAAACCAAAAGAGAAGGGCAGAGATGCAGAAAAAAACCCAGGAGTGTGGAGTCACAGAAGCCAGAGGAGGGAGTGTGCCACACAGGAGGGTGGGCCATGATGTCAAAGGGCACTGAGAAATGAAGCTAGAAAAAGACAAAAAAGTAAGTCCTGGATTTAGCCAGGAAAATTCTGCTAGTGACCTCAGCAAGTCTTGACAAAGTGATATGGACCAAGTACAGGATGCAGAGACAAAAAGTGGATTCAATGTGTGTAGACCACTCTCTGAGGCAATCCAGCTAAGAAGGAGCAGCCACCAATCAGGCCACAACAAGGGCAAGAGGGTCTCATTGCGTGCGAGTTCCTCCGTGCATGTTGGAAGACTTACTGGAGGAAGACAGCAGAAAGGAGAATGGCACAGATGAGGCAAGGGAGTGGGTGACAGGACCAGAGCACAGGAAAGGCCCCTCCCACCAAAATAGGAGCACAGCAGGGGCCACCCACAACCTGCCCACTCAAGAACAGGGTTTTTTTCACATTCCAAAGAAACGTAGTCTTTTCATGATCTTATCATCTGTTAGGACTGGAATGATGGGTGATCAGCAGTACTTCTTTTTTTTTTAAGAGGCAGATCTTGCTCTGTCGCCCAGTATAGCAGCACAATCTCAGCTCACTACAGCCTCAAATTCCTGTGCTTAAGTGATCTTCCTGCCTCAGCCTTCTGAATAGCTGGAACTACAGGCATGTGCCACCACAGCCAGTTAATTTTTTTTTTTTTAAGAAATAAGGTCTTGCCATGTTGCCCAGGCTGGTTTCAAACTCCAGGCTTCAAGCAATACTCCTGCCTCAGCCTCTCAAAGTGCTAGGATTATAGGCATGAGCCACCACGCCCAGCCAGTAATCCTTCTTGATCAGTACTCATAAAAGAATTCTCCTTACCGTTCACAGTAATTGTTCCAGTAGTCTGTGGAACGCCAACGAGCGTCACTGGGTAGAGCCCAGATTCCGCCGGAAGGGAAAGCGCTGCAGGGAGACACTCGAACTCCACTCCACTGGTGAGGAGCCCCTAAAGCAAGCAATCCAGCATCATGAGTACACCCAGCCCAAAGCCACCATGTACATTCAGTTCCAAATGGGCTTAAGACATTCGCTACAGACATTCGCTACAGACATTCGCTGGAACTGCCAGATGAAAAGACTAACACACTTCCTAGAAACCTACAGAGAACTGCAGAAACAGTCTAAAGCGTGGTTAACACAAAACAATCTTGACACAGAAAGCACTGTGGGTACTCAGGTGATAAACAACAATTCTACTTGATTGTAGCCCTGTTTGTTATATTCTTGATATTTATTTTGTTTTGTTGTTTTACCAAATGGGAATGTGAATCCAAAGAAAAAACAAAATATCTTATTTATATGCAAAAAGAAATAAAAATGAAATGTGGAAATATATTACCAGTTAATATCCCTCCAGAACATCTATGAATTATCAACTCATTTCAATATGTACCAGGCACTAAGCTTGCTAGTGAACAAGACAGATGCCCTGGCCTCAAGGAGGTTCCCTATGATTGGAAACAACACAGGGACTTCAGCTCTCAGGACTTCTCAACATTGTAATGGAGGTCCTACTCAGGGCAGAAAGGCAAGGAAAAGAAAGAAAAGGTATACAGACATTTATTCACAAGAAGTTTGAACTAATGAACACACTTAACAAAGTGACAAGAGGCAGGGGGGAACCAAAGATATTTCTATAATTTGGCAATAAGCAACTGGAAAATAAAATGTAGACAAATATCATTAAGGCGGAGAGTATTGCCACGTGGGCCCCTGCCACAGACAAAACAAAATAAATATCAAGACTATAACAAACAGGATTAAAATCAAGTAGAATTGTTGTTTGTCACCTGAGTATCCACAGTGCTTTCTGTGTCAAGATTGTTTTGTGTTAACCATACTTTAGACTGTCTCTGCAGCTCTCTGTAGGTTTCTAGAAAGTCTGTTGCAGACCTGAATGCATTCCAGGCATGCGTTCGCTGGGAGCAGCTTGGCATCTGCAGAGCTGGGATGCCTTCCTAGTCCTGCCCTTATTTTTTTTCATACTAGCCTTTGCCATAAGAGTTAACATTTCTGGAGCATTTATTGTATGCCAAGCATGGAACCTCAAGACAAGCATCCCTTAGGGACCACAATCATTTTCATTTTTCAGAGATGGGGTCTCACTATGTGGTATAGGCTGGCCTCTAGGGATCCTCCCACCAAAGCACTGGGATTACAAACTGAACCACTGCACCTGGTCTCTTCCTTTTTTAAAAATTCTGCAAGGGAAATGCAAGACAGGCTCTCACAATGTTGCCCAGGCTGGAGTGCAGTGGAGATTCACAGGCACCATCACAGTGTACTGCGGCCTAGAATTCCTGGCCTCAAGAAATACTGCTGCCTCAGCCTCTGGAGTAGCTGGGACTATAGGAACACACCATTGTACCTGGTTTTGGACACTTCCTTATATGTGTCTCACATTCTGGAAAACCTGTACTCCCTGGTAAGCCAGAACAGTTGATCACCTCAAATATAAGTGTTATTATTATTACTACTGTTATAATTTTAACAAGAATCACACATCTGCCACATGAACACAAGCTCAGAATTCTGCCAGGTCTTTTATATTAACACCAGTGTTACCAGCAAAACCCTAACCAGTCCATTCCTTTGCAGCCAGAACCAGCAGGTGGAAACAGCAAACAGATGTTGTCCTCAGTAAAAGGGCTGACTGTGGCTTCAACTTATTTTTGTATGTTTGTGTTTTCCATGCATAACAGGAGGTCCTATTTATTGATCATTTGTTGTACATAGCACCTTACAGAGCAAAACGATTTAGATATCTTATCTCATTTAATCCTTACACAACTCAACAAGCTAAGTATTTTTTTCTTTTGTGGTTCTTTCTTTTTTGAGTCAGTGTCTCACTCTGTCACCCAGGCTGGAGTACAGTGGCACAATCATGGCTCACTGCAGCCTCAGCCTCCTGGGCTCAGACGATCCTTCCGCCTCAGTCTCCCGAGTAGCTGGAACTACAGGCACCCACCACCACGACCGGCTAATTTTTTTTCTTTTTTGTAAAGCCAAGGTCTTGCTATGTTGCCTAGGTTGCTCTAGAACTTCTGGACTCAAGTGATCCTCTTGCCTCGGCCTCCAAAAGTGCTGGGATTACAGGCATGAGCCACCGTGCCTGGCCCTGTGTTCTCTTTATCATCTCCATTTTGCAGCTGGAGAAAGGGAGTCTCTGCTTAAGCAAATTGCCTAAAAACAAACAACTAGAAAATACCAGGCCTAGGTCAGAATTCAGGTCTACAAGAGCTGCGGACCACCAATATAATATGAAACAGGAGTTCCTAGTACGGGCTGCACATTAGAATCACCTGGGAGCTCAGAGAACCTTCCAGTGTCTGGATCCATGCCCAGACAGTCTGAGTGAATTGATTAAGGTAGGGCCCAGGCATCAGTATCTTTTTCAAGTTCCTCAGTTGATTGAGTCTTGCATCAAGAACCAATGTTACTGGCTGGGTGTGGTGGCTGGTGCCTGTGATCCCAGCACTTTGGGGGGCCAAGGCAGAAAGATCACTTGACCTCAGGCCAAGGTGGGAAGAAAGCTTAAGACCAAGAGTATGAGACCAGTCTGGGCAACACAGTGAGATCCCATCTCTAAAAAAAAAAAAAAAAAATTTCAAGAGAGAATCAATGGTACTTGCACTCTGACCCAGTTTTCACACTTTGTGCAATGACCCATTAATGGATCTTGAAAGCAATTTAATCTCTCTAGTCCAGAATAGAATAGAGTTGAACAGCGAGAACAGAATAGAAAATACCACATCACATATAGTACAGATGTATTATTTCTGGAAATTCGTATGTCAGTTGTCCGTGTTTCATGGGTGTGTGTACTGTCATGATGTAAAATGTATTTCTTATTGAGTCAAGGTCAAAAATATTTTAAAGTTAATCTTATATATGGTCAAATCTAGAATATGGATATGTTCCATTTGGTCCATACATGCATTTTTCAAAATCTGGATGAGTTGTTAGTATTTGAATATTGATAGATTTCACATAAAGATCTGAATTTCTGTCAAAAAAAGAAAAAAGAATAAGAAGAAAAACACTATTAATGAGAGGTCAAAAATATCAACTATGTTAGGATAAATCTAATGAATAGAGTGCAAGAATTCATTACAGAACACAGCTGAGATCAATTAAAGAAGACCTCAGTGAAGGAAGAAATTCTGGACTACTTTTAGTGGGGTGATTTTCCACAATGGTATGGTAAAAGCAACCCTAAAACTACTTTAGATGTATTATGGGATTGAGCATATGAGTAAATATGTTGATACTGTTGTGAGACCGAGTTCTCACAATGGAAGAAAGAACACAAATATGTAATGGAGGAAGGCAAGAAAGAACCCTATGGAGATATACTGGAATTGAAGGCATCAGTATGAAGTCAGGATGAGTAAAATATGCATGTCTATTGTATATATGCATAGATATATGTGCATATGTGTATAGACATATATGTGCTTACACATGTATGTGTCCATACATGCAGATTTTTCCTCTGTCTTCAGAAAGCACCCAGAAGCAAAGCCACTCCCACAGAGATGAGCACACCTAGTGCCCAGACCTGGAGCAAAGGTGTGAACAGATGTAGCAGGCAAGGGTGGAAATGGAAAAGCCAATTGTCTCTAGGCAAATATATGGGTATTTATTTCTTTTTAAAATAGCTAAGGCTGGGCTCAATAGCTCAGCCTGAATCCCAGCGCTTCGGGAGGCGAGGTGAGTGGATTGCCTGAGCCCACGGGATCAAGACCCGCCGGGGCAACTTGGTGAGACCTCATCTCTACAATAAATAAAAAAATTAGCCGGGCATGGTAGCATGCGCCTGTAGTTCCAGCTACTTGGAAGGCTGAGGCAGAAGGATCGGCAGAGTCCAGCAGGTCAAGGCTGCAGTGGCTGGGACATGCTACTGCACTCCAGTCTGGGCGACATAGTGAGACTCCAACTCAAAAAAAAAAAAAAAATAGCTAAAGCAATATGGTCAACTGTTAACATCTGTCAAATGTAGATGTTGGATATTCGAGTGTTTATCATTCCCTATAACATTTCATATGCTTAAAATATTTCATAATTTAGTTTTCAAAATGATGACCATGATTTATGGACTAACTCCATGTGGTGCTTTTTATTTCATTCTTTACTCTTCCTAATTTTTTATAATAAGCACATATTTTTAAACCAGATAAAAATGAAAGCTATGTTTTAAGACCAAAAAAAAAAGTGTTTAAGAAAGAGCAGCAGGCAGAGCACAATGGCTCATGCCTGTGATCCTAGCACTTTGGGAAGCCAAGGCCTAGGGATTGCTTGAAGTCAGGAGTGCAAGAACAACCTGGGCAACATAGTGATAACTTGTCTCTTAAAATAATAATAATAATAATAATTAATTGGGCAAGGTGGTATGAGCCTGTAGTCCTAGCTACTAGGAAGATTGAGGCAGAAGATTGCTTGAGCCTAGGAGTTCAAGGTTATAGTGAGCTATGATTGCACCACTGCACTCCATCCTGTGAAAAAGGGTGAGACCTTGTTTCAAAAAAAGAAAAGTGCACACACACACACACACACACACACATATGCAGCAGGCATATCATACTTTATCCATTTTGGGGAAAATTCTCTAAACAATTGTTATTCCCTGTTTAGGTCAGGAGACAGAAAGCCACTGGAAAGACCTCAGCCAAGAGCCAAATTCTAAGGCTGGTATGTCCTTGTACAACAGGAAGAGGAGGAAAACACTCATCCTGTGAGTCTCAGCACAGCAAGTCTAACATTCAGCCGAGTTTCTAAGAGCGCAAACAGATTTTGGAAAACTCTACCACATGCTGGAAGCCTAAACAGCATCTCAGTAACTACCAAGCAGTCTGCCTGGCAAACCGCAGCTCAGCCTTCCAGTTCCAGTCAAGCTGTCATGCCAGTCCCAGGAACCCTTCCCTGACTCTCCAGGGCCAGAAAGATACCCTTCCACATTGATCCTGCAATATCTCATGCACCCCAACACAACCCTGATCACAGTCACAGCAGGAATCAGGGCCTGTCCATCTCGGAGCCCTCAGGGCCTTGCCTGGGGCCTAACACATAGGGTGGGCACTCAGCAAGACACCTACATGAAGACTCCGCCTCTGACCCTGAATGTTAGTCTTAAAACTCTAAAAGAAAAACATCAACTGGCCATTGCCTTGCTAAATTATGGTGTGGCCATGTGCTCTTTGAGCTATGGCCAAGCCATGTTTTCTTAAGCTTTGGCCCCCTCCCCTCCTTTGGTGAGGTGAATCCCCTCTTTCTCTCTCTCTCCAATTTACTTTCTAAATAAACTATATTTTCTAATCTAAAAAAGAAAAGAGAAACATCAGCCATCACAGAACCATCCTTTGTGTGTCGTTGAGATGTTACACAGCAGTATGAACGGCAATGCAGAGAAGGGTCAAGGGATGGAATCCACATTGGCAGGTGGGGTTCTGCTCTGGAAATCATAGAATTAGCATGGAGAACTAATTTCTTTCCCCAATAATGGAATTAGGTGAGCAGTTCCAACTGATGCCACTACAAAGTGAATCTTTAACACTCTACACAAAGCACAGATAGGGAACATCAGGATTTCGACAAAAGGAACCTCAGAGTGGTAGCGCAGTAATTTATTCTCTTACTCTTCAGCTTGTTCTTCCCTTAGGCCTTGATCATCTTACCATCCTGCACAATAAAGTAATGCTGACAGTATTGAGCAGCGGGCATAATGTAGACTTTGTCACCTGCACTAGTCTCATGTAAACGAAAATGACTATTTCAAATCATATATCCTATCAACTACGCCCAATGTGTGTGCAAATCAGAGGTTTCTTTGTTTTGTTTACTTGAATATTTATTGAAAACTAAGCCTAAAGACACAGAAATGACAAAACACAAAACAGTCACTCATAATAAGTTTATAATCTTTGGCAAAACAAAAAAATTAAAAATAGGCATATATCTTATGAATTTCAAATATTAGGCAAAAAAGAAATTATTTTAATGAGAAGTTGGTGTTTTGGCCCAAAAAGGTCAAATAACCGATAATACATACCATGTTTTCAACTCGAAGTTCAAACGGCATTGGGTTATAGACCATCAGCTGAACTTCACACACATCTCCTTGAACCCACTGGAAATCTGGAAAACACACACACACAAGGAATCCATGAAATAGTTGGTTATTTTTTCACTTTCCATGTGGTTTCTCATTATCCCTCTGGCAAATTATTTTTCAAACAAGGCAGCAGGCATTATTATCATCTTGAGATGGACAATTCAAAGCTAGTTTTTCCACCAGCTTTCCCCAAAACAGAGCAAAGCAGCCATCAGGGCTACTTTGGTGCCATGTAAATGACATTCCTCGCTGACTTCGGCAGGATGCATCCATGCCAGCCTGCCAAGAGAAGCTTCGCGAAACTGAAGTCAACCCAGACAGCACTATTGTTGATGTAGAGCTGTAAGGCACACCACACTTCATGAGCCCAGAGACTAGTAACGTGGGAACACGGCATTGGGGTCACTTGTGAGTGGCTCGGAGTGTGACTTACCCTATACTCTCAAAGTCTGTGAGAGAAGAGGTCAGCTCCTCCTCCCCACCCATTCCCAGGTCAATTGCAGTTCAGCACCTATGAGGGGCAGGATTCTAATTCACTCTAAGAACCTCCAGCCCTGGTGTGCATGCCCTATGCAAGCCCCTCCCCTTGAGTGTGAATGTGATGATTAGGTTATGTTATATGACAAAGGTGAAAGGATTTTGCAGAAGACATTACGGTCCCCAATCAGTTAACTCTGAGTTAATCAAAAGGAAGATTGTCCTGAATGGGATCCCTTAAAAGGGATCATATCCTTCCTGAGGTCTGTGGAGGGAGTGACATGACAAGGACCCCACAGCAGTTCCTAGGAGCTGAGAACAGTTCCAGCTGGCTGCTAGCAAGAGAAAAGGGGTGTCAGTCATGCAACCACAAGGAAATGAGTGAAGAACAACCTGAGGAATCTTGAAAGCAGACCTTTTGCTAGTACATCCGCCAGATGAGGACCTGGTTGACACCTGGATTTCACCCTTGTGAATCCCTGAGCAGCAGACCCAGCGAAAACTCATGACCCATACAGTGAGGAAATAAATCTGTGTTGTTTTAAGTCACTGAGTTTGTGGTAACAAAGTACTAGAAAGTTAATACAGCACCTGTCTCAATTTTCATAATCTCCTCTTCACTTTAAGATACTCCATTAGCGAAACCAGAAGGAATTTTGGAATCAATTAACAGGTATTGGGCATGTGTTAGGTGTGAGGCATTTTCAGGCAGGTTATCTCACTAGTCTTCATAATTACCTTGTGAGATAGGCATTATAACCCCCTTAACTATAAGGCAAGCACTCAAGGTCCAAACAGGTTAGCAAAATTTGCCTACTAATCACACAGCCAGTGGGTGGTGCAACAGGGATTCAGGCCCAAGTCTCTAAACTTAAAGAGGTATCTAGAACAGACATGGTGTCTGACAGGGCAGTATAGGGCTTTTTCTAGAGTAGATATGAGGATTCATTGACCAGACTTCTTCAACTGTCACAGAGCTTTCATAACCATGTTCTCAACATACAGCTTTGTCCACCCACTTTACACTGAGCACCCTCACAGATATTAAGACTGACCCCACCAAACCCATGGCATGTGACCCAGAACTGGCATTCTGAAACATATGAACTGATAGAGAGCCCATCAGGTGAGTTAGTTTAAAAATGATTGTACAGCCATGTACTCATTTGAGCCTCTGAAAAATGTAGTGTATGACTACAGTTGACTATGTCAGTAGAATGAATATTATTCTCATTCTACAAAAGAGGAAAACTATCACTGACAGGTTGAACTGCTCGCCCATCTTATGACCCTGATAAATAAAAGCTGAGATTCAAATTCAAGTCTATCTGACTCCAAAACTTATGTTCTTTACAAGACTTTTCCACCCCTTAGGACTCTGGAAACTCAGGTCTCGTCCTTCCTTCATCTCACCTCTCTGAACCTGCCCCAGGTCCATCCACCTCTGAGAACCTTCAAGGGGAAGGGACACCTCCCACTCCTCACTCACTGAAGTCAGTAGCCAGGGTACATTGCCCTGCCCCCAGGGTCTCACCCAGCCTGCCGAGGTCTGCAGGAAGTCAGCATCCCAGCCTACTCCTCATCACAGATGATAAAGGTCATTCTTTTTAAATAAGTTGCTATGCCTGGTAACTAATCAATTGTTTTCTCTGTTATCGTCAAAAAATAATCATTTTTTAAAAAATCATTTTCTGGCTTGCTGAGAGGAATAATTTATACTTACATGGTCCTTGTCTACTAAAGGGTAAATCAAAGATAAATTATTGATTGTACGAAAAGTTATTTTTGCCTGAAAGGAGATAATCCCCTTCCCAACAGTTAGCATGTCAGAGCACATGGTAGTGCCCCTTCCTCACTATATTGTCCCAGAAAGTGGGAAGGAACAGGAATTAGCAGCTATTAAATAAGCCCTCTGTCTCAGGCCCTCCCCATCCTGTCAGCATCGCACACTGTGCATGTTGCCATCTGTGGACCCACAACATCTGGAGGCTGCTTTTGTTGACAAATTCATCTCTTTCTACTACAGTGTATGGACCCGCTTGGCAGGAAGCACTTGTGATTTATCAATGTATCCCAGCACCTAGCACAGTGCACACAACTGCTACAGAAAACCTCATCTGAATGTCTTCCAGGCACTTACAAAACATTATCTCCCTTGATCCTCAGAACTCTCTGAGTTAGCTTCTAATAGCCCCATTCTGTTGATGGCATAACTGCATCCCGGGGAGGCATGATCAGTGGTCCAAGGTCACACTGAGAAGTGAGAGCTGCAGGGCCAGGCTGCAGCCCAAGTTCGCCTGATAGCCATGGCCTTTCCAGGCCACCATACTGCCTCTAGGGCAGTCGTCAACTTTGGCACAAAGTCTGGCAATGCCACAAAGACCTATCACAAATGAGAGAAAAGGCTTCATCCCACCATGCTCAAATCAGGACCTGTGTTGCCATCATCTTTGCATAGAGTGTAGCTTAGATGATGGCCATACTAGCCAACACACAGACACAAACACTGCTCAGTTATTCTATGTTAGAGCGGAAAATGGTCTCAAAAACTACCCTCAAGCGTTTCTTCATTTCAAAAACTCTATGCCCCCTGTTGTGATGATACTCCCTCAGTTATACACAAAGATTCATTTACAGAGATTAGAAATTTAGGTTAAAGTTATGCGATTTGTCAAGCCCTAGGCAAATACTCACTGATCAGTATATTGCCAAAAAGATATTAGACACTATAGAATATAAATTACATTCTCCTACCCAACAAATAATAAGCATTTTGGCTAAACCTTCTGTTATATCTCAGAAAAAATCTTACATCATCTACGAGTTTATCCTCAGGCCAGGTGAGCAAGTACTTCTTACTATGGTGAGAAACCATATTATAAAGGAAAAACATCCCTGGGCAATGAGACTGGGCTCTGCCACATACTACCTAGCGGTCATAAAGCAGGTAATTTATATCCAATCAGTCTCAACTTTTTTCATCTGTAAGTAGGAAATATAATAATGCCTGCAGCATCAGCATCAAATAGTTATGGAAATCACCAGATAATGTTTCCTTAAGTCCTCTTCAACAAATATAGAGAATCATTTTCATTAAAAAAAAAAAAAGTCTTGACAAATATTTAAGACTGAAGAGGAAAAACAGAGAGGCAGGGCTGGCTCCATGGGCTTGTGATCCATGCTGTCAGTAGCACAGCACCCCTCCTCAAAGGCCCACGTTTAGTTTAATGCTCTGCTGTCACTGTCTTCAAATTCTTAGTAACTTTTGAACAAAAGATCCCGTGTTTTTATTTTGCACTGGGCCCCACAAATTACACAGCCGGTCCTGAGAAGAAAAGTCTCATACCTCCAGTTTTTCTCTAAACAAAATTAATGAAACTTTCCTTAAAAGTTCTTCAGAAAGCCGGGCTCAGTGGCTCAGCCTGTAATTCCAGCACTTTGAGAGGCTGAAGCAAGTGGATTGTGTGAGTCCACGGGTTCAAGACCAGCCCAAGCAACTTGGCGAGATCTCGTCTCTACAGTAAATCAAAAATTAGCTGTGCGTGGTAGCGCATGCCTGTAGTTCTGGCTACTTGGAAGGCTGTGGTGGAAGGATCATTGGAGCCCAGCAGGTTGACGCTGGGGTGGCTGTGAGTATGCCACTGCACTCAAGCCTGGGTGACAGAGTGAGACTCTGACTCAAAAAAAAAAGTTCTATAGGGGAGAAAGCTTATCATCAACCCTAATGAGATCCAAAAAGAGGAGTCAGAGATGCCCAGAAGATCCAAGACAAGAAAACCTCAGCACTTCTATGGGGACAGTGGAGCCTGACAAGGAGGTTACCCGGCATCATAGAGCTAGTAAGACGCCCTCCCAAGAGAAGAAAGGAGGAGCTCCCACTGGGAGCTGGGAGCAACACGCCATCCCTCCCAAACATGCCAGGACAGAATTTGTTTCACTCTCTCCTGTTCACTGGAATGCACACTGGAGCAGATCTGGGGAGCACCATCTGGCCCTCCCTGGTTACCCACAATGCCTGCTCAGCTCCTCCACTTTCCATCACCTCCATATGTTCTCCAGAGCAGAGGTGCAATGGTAAGGGAAATGAGGCTGGGGTGTCTTTCAAAAAATCAGGAGACTAAAAATGGAATTGTAAAGATTCACACATATACACTCACACAGATACATAGACAATTCAGTAAACTATACACTTAGGGCTGTTGTTTTCAGAAATTTTCCAAAATTCAGTATCAGCTGTCATTTTCCAAGGGCATTACCTATGTCTCTTCCTTTATTCTCTTCTCATTCTAACAATGAACAGCTAGAACAGTCAGAGCCACACCTTGGGAAGCCCATGCCGCTCTCAGAGGCAAGGCTGCCTCTGAGCCTCCAGAAGGCTTTTCCAGAGCCGGCAGGAACCTGCTCCCAGTCAATCCAGTGTTTATTGTTTGTCCAGGTTCGATGGGTAAGTAACCAGGTACACCTGGTGAAGGGTCTACAGTTTTAGACAACTTTTATTTACATTTCATCTCAATATTCAAATTCTCATGTATTTGTGTCTTGGCTA